AATGGTTGTTGGATTTCATGAAATGCTTTTTACGCATCTACTGAGATGATTATACAGTTTTCTTCGTAAGTCTGTTAATATGGTGAATTACGTTAACTGAGTTTTTAAAACTTTTTTTGGAAGCAGTTATAGATTCACAGGAAATTGGGAAGCTGGTACCCACACTGACTGATTCCTGAGTGTCGATTTGGTCTTGAGGTGCTGGATAAACCCCACCCGGCTGTGATGTGCTGTCTGCCTCCCGTGTTGCTGGGTGTGACTGGCTGACGTCCTGTTCGGGATTGTCACGTCTGGCTTCACGAGGACACTGGTCTGCAGGCCCCTTTCCCTGTGATGTCTTTGGTTTTGGATAACATTGTCCTCATCAAAGAAGCTGACAAGCTTCTTTCCCAGTTTCTGTAAGAGTTGACACAGAGTGGGCATTTTTCTTCTTTAAATGTTTGGTAGAAATTTCTAAGAAACTGGAGTTTTCTTTGAGACACATAGGACATTCCAATCTGTTTCCTCTTCTGTGAGTTTCTCTAGTTTTGTTACCAAACTCGGGTCCGCTTGCCCCCGTGCAGTGAAGCCAACCTACCGATCCCAGGTGGTGGTGGAGGAAAGCACAGTGTTTACTGCAGGCGCCCAGCGAGGAGAATGGGCAGCTAGTGCTCAAAAGGCCCGAGCTCCCGAAGGCTTTCAGGGGGAGGTTTTTAAAGACAGGGTGGGGGTGGGGTGGGGCGGCTATGGTGCATGATCAGCTCGTGGACATCTTCTGACTGGCGGGTGGTGAGGTCCTCAGGAGTCAGCATCATCCCCCTTCTGGGTCCAGCTGGTCTGGGGTCTGCGTGCCGGGGGGCAGCGTGCAGTCAGCTTCCTCCACCTGGCAGGGGCTTCAGTAGCTGCAAAACAGCCCGAAGGAGGACACGGCTCAGAATATTCTCTCTACCCCTGGAAAGTCCTTGACTTTGTTAAACGGCTAAACTGTTATTTTGTCGTGCTTGATGGTTTTTCTTGCTTTTGCATTTTCTCACTTCTCTGATTAACTTTATTCTTTAGAACTCAGGGAAGCCCGGGAGGCTGAAGTTCTTCTACTAACAAGAGGCAGGAGGAGGACAGGGAGGGGTGGGGGGGGGCGGCTGTCCTGGGAAGGCCCCCTGGGGTCCTGCTGGATCCCAGTTTGCGCCCATCAGGGAGGAGGCCCGTTCCATCTAAGGTCGTGAATGCACGGGTGTGGTGATGTTTGTAGAGCCCCTCGTTATCCTTTTAATTTCTGAAAAATGTTCAGTGATGTCCCATTTTTCTGTCCTTGACGTTGGTAACTTGTTTCTTCTTGTTTTTCTCCCTGGCCAGTCTGCCTAGAAGGTCATCAATTTTATTGATCTTCTCAAAGAACCAGCTTTTGTTTCAATGGCCCCCACGTCCTCCCGTCTGCTCTCTGTGGGTTTCCTTTGCTCTCCTTCTGCAAAGTTCTGCAGTCGGAGCTTAGATGGATGGTTGATTCAGGACCTTTTTTCTTT